CTTTAAGGAATCTTCTTAATAACCTTATACTATTATTACAAAATGAATGTATTCATGACAGGCCTAAACATATCTTACTCAATGGATTCATTTAAATTGGGCATTATAGTGCTATTGTGATATACATAAATATAAGATCCGAGATCATGAAACAATACCGATATTCCAGAGGTTAAAGCGGGGGAGTCGTCACCTGCGCATGCATCAGATGGCCATAGCGTATCATTGTTTACAAACAAGCATCTACCCATGAGCTTTTGCATTTTTAGGGTGTGTTGCTATCGTCGCATGGAACTCAATTCCTGCGCGTGTGCACAGGTAATGACCCTCTCGCTTTAATATTTCTAACTGGTTAAATTTATATTTTAGTTTTTTTTAAAAGAATAATCCCTAATGTTATTTAGCACAAAATAATGTAGAACCTCTAAAAACTTGCATATTTGCCATGTGATTATGAGATTATCTTACAATCCATGCCACTTTTCTTCAATTCTTGTGAGATTTTTATTGCATATTTTATCCCACCATTTGTGTAACCATTATCTTATAAATCATGGCTCTATTTAATCATGGCTTGCATAAATAAAACAGGATCTCAATCACAATAATGTATTCATGACACTTATACAAAATGTACACAGTTAGAATAATATGATAATATATGAAATAATATATAATTATATACAATACATTAATAATGTATAAATACAAGGCACACATAAACACTGCTGCAGTAGTGAAAATGTCATTCAAATATCAAATGGTATAAATTCATAAAATCAACTAAAACGTCATTTATTACCAAATAACATTATTTAAATACATGTACATACGAATAGTACCATAAAATCTGTATTTATACAAGTCGCATCCATTTGTTTTTAATAATTGAGAACTCAAAATTCATCATTTCTCATATGTGTAGAGGCTCTAATAGAAGCCGCATCCCCTCTGTTGCATTGTACCATTTTAATAGAAGCCGCAGCTTCTAATACATAGTTTTAACCAACAGCAATACAGAACACAGTTGGTGCTTAGAAATGTTTGATTTTCATCATATTCAAAAACACGTGCATTAAATGCATTGCGAGCAAGGACACAACTAAAACTGTCTGAGATGAACACAAATCGGTTCTTTTGTAGACTCACAAGTTTACATTTAGATTTCTAAAGTTCTCTCACAAGTCTGTGGTCATTTCAGAATTCGTGCAACTTCTTCAATTTGCATGCAAACTTATCAACCCCTATTCTTATAAACCCTTGGTAAAATACAATATCTTTCATTAGAATAAATTACGGCTAAGGGATTGGAGACAAACCATGTCACCCATATTAGAAAAACTTTGGGTGGAGGAAGGGAAGAAGTGGGCACCTCCAAAAAAGATTACATGTGGCGAAAAAGGCAAGTTCTGGCAGCCTAGAATAAGTCAACCCGATTTTTGATGCAACCTTTCTGATTGGCAAATGAGTCACCAACTCTAAAAGCCTTACTTTGATTGGGTCCCCATCTGTACCTCATTAGCATATCACCTGGGAATTGATAAACCAGCCTTTGCTAGTTCTGCCATAAATAACTTCGAGGTCGATTCTTCCCTGAATTTAATTCATACATGCATGTAGTCCCTCAACACCCGGTTGGAAAGCACAGTCCCCCAACTGTGGTGACCCAACTTACTCTCTTTCGGCTAAATCATGACAATGATGTGACATCATAAATGGTATAGCGTGGACGAACGAACCTTGGAAAGGGATGGGCGGTTCGTGCTGGTCGTACCACGGAGATCGGATCGGACGTTTCAAAACAATCATAACGTGACAGGCGAATGCACATTATTTTAGCAATGTATACCATATGTTTCATTTAAAAATAGACATTTATATATGAAGAATTACCTTGGTTGATACTTACCCGTATTTTGTCTAGTATGGATAGCTCGATCTTGTGCACGAACGGGTTGTGTACCGTCGGCATCATCAGCGACTCTTGTCGCAAGATTTTCGACTTGTCCGTCATATTTGACATTGTTGTAAACTTGTACAACACTTGGTCTGTATGCGAGAGATGATACGAGCCTGGTTAATGAGCGATGGACACTTTCAGCAACTTAATTTGGAGCATCGTCACATATTATAGTTTATTGCTTATTAACGATCAAGGATATGTTAACCCCGAGTCCCCTAACTGATGTAAAAAATATCACTTCCGGTTACTGGGGAGGGTCACCTGATGTAGACACCTTATGATACTAGGCGTTATCAACAACATGGCGCTATTCAGTTTCATTGAACGACTGTGAGTGACGTAATGACCCGGTACTGATGGAGATGTTACTAATTTGACTAATAACATAATATTGTTATTAAAACCATATCCCATTGTGCGATTTTAGTATAGACTGCAATACTTATACTTTATTAAACACGTAAAATTCCCCAGGAGGAATTAAAATGGTTACATTTACACTAAACAAAACTAGACTAATAATACAAAACATTAAGACTAAAGTAATGATTAAAAAACAATAATAATAATAATCGAAATAAAAAAAAAAAAAAACTTAAAAAAAACAAACATGAATAGTAATAAATCCCACTAACAGCAATAATAAAGGTAGAAGAAACCATTGTTAAAAAAGTAATAACAATAATGATGCGTTAATGCATTAAGGGTTAAAAATTGTGGAGGTGTTGCTGTCTTAAGTCGAGGGCAATTTTAATGAATTGTCAGAGTGTGATATGAAATGAGGTAAAATTATAACTCATTGTCAGTGCAAATTGTTCATTAATTGTAAAATTATCAAAATTTCTAATTTGTTTCTTACATTTCTCAAATATTAATTTTCTTTGGTCATTGTAAAATGAACAAGTCATGATGAAATGTTGTTCGTCTTCTAGTTGTTTTTTTGTGCACAGTTCACATACTCTTTCTTTTACAGATGTTTTTGGTTTGGAATGTCGTCCTGTT